ACTGCAATGGAAATCTGAGACTACCCATGTTTAAAAGCGAATTTATGAAAAACAAGTCCAACGTCAGATTTTTTCCCTCCGATGCATTTATAATATGCGGACATGGCAACCCAAAAAAGGGCGAGGTATGGTGTAGTAGTGTTGCCTGCGCGTTTCTCAGCGCGATTGACCATTCAAAATCATTTCTTTCTCTCTTGTGTCTTTTGTTTTGGTTAATCCGCTGTGGCGGATTTTGTGTCTGTTTGTTTGCTTTAATAGACAAATTTTAAAACAATTGTACAAGAAAACTATGGGATCATATTCCCGCCAAATGTATTGCAGTCGCGGATAAAAAAAAATAAGTGTGAAACCAAAATTTAAAAACGCAAGCAAAGTTTCCAGAATAGCAAACAATGGTCACGGATCAAAAATAATAAGTGCAAATCAAAAATTTAATAACGTATTTAAAAAAAATAATAAGCACGAATAAAAACTTTAAACACATTTAAAATCATATTGCACAAAACTGAAATATTAATGCTAAATTATCCGAATTGCACACAAAATCATGTTTTCCTTGGTTATATTTCTCTGTTTTTTGTGCTTAGCTCTCTCTCTAGCCAATCAGTGGAAGAGGGGCGGTGACGTCACTCCAACGCGCCTCATTACTGCCGATGCTCAGTGTTCTGTTCACTTATATTCGTTCAATGTTAAGGGCATTCGTGATTTGTTAAAGAGAAAAGCTATTTTTTTATTTCTTAAAAGATTTAAGGCTGACATTTATTTTTTACAGGAAACTCATACAGTAACGTCTGATTTTGTTTTTAGGAGAAATCAATGGGGTAGTGATATCTGGTTGGTATAGGGGAGTAATAAATCAGCAGGGGTCGCAGTTTTGAAAGGTAATTATAAAGGGAAAATTTTATGGTGATTTGGAACACTATGAATGATCCTTTTTTGGATTGTTTTCCTCCCCGTATCAGTAGACAGTCCCAATATACTGATATATTTAATTTATGTTCCCAATTAAATTGTCGGGATGAATGGAGGCACAGAAATCTTGATAAGATAGACTTTACTTGGAGTAATAAGGATAGATCTATACAATCTAGAATTGACTTTTGGTTAACATCTGAGGAATTTGGGAATCAAATTCAGGAGACTGAAATAGTGCCTTCAGTCTTCAGTGACCATAGAATGATCCATTTAGTTATCAGCCTTGGTGATACAAGAACTCGAGGATCTCACTTCAATTACTGGAAATTAAATAATTCACTTTTTGAAGATGTTCAGTTTAAGGATAATGTTAAAAGTGTGATAAAGTGATGTTACATTAATGCTAAAATATCAGGCTTATATGGAACAAATTGGGAAATTATGAAATATGAAATTAGAACATTTGCAGTCTCAAGAAGTAAAGAAATAGCCAAAACCAAAAGAACCAAAGAAAATAGCTTAATTCAAAACATAATTGATATATATGACAAACAACTAGAAAGTGAACAAGATAAAAATCTTTTAAAGGGGTCATATGATGCTTTTTTAAAGATCATTATTTTGTGTATTTGGTGTAACCAAATTTAGATTTCAGTGTTAAACTGGAAGGTATAAATATAAAAGATCAGAAATGTAATAATAATTATCTTAGAACGATTTGGCAAATTTACAGTGTTCCTTTAGCCATTGGTTTTTGGAGATCACAATTTATATGAATATGCATTAATTCATCTCACTCACACACAAAAAAAACACAGATTCAGTATTCCTCAAAATGAATAAAAATAATGCAACTCAGAATATGACGCAAACCTGCAATAATTAAATGTTAAACAACACAAATATCCTTTATGTATTTAATCCCATTCTATTAAGCAATGTCTTTGCTTCTGACCTTCGATGATCCAGTTCAACCATTCTAATAAAAGAGAGATGCGTTGTCCAGGCACTTGTGCAGCGCCATTTTTATGTCAACCCACTTGTGTTGGGGCACATGACTTTTCCCATGCCCCCCCCCCAAATGACAACAAACTTTTAATTTTTAAGAATATTTAGATCATCAAAATATTAGATACCTTAAAAAACCTGAATAAATATTAAATAAAAATTTTCTAACAAAAAAGTAGAAAAATGCACAAAGAACTTATATGGAGATTTTTCCATCTACAGATTTTTCCCTGACCTTCTTTTCTCTGTAAATTAAGGGTGCACACTATTGCTGAAAAACACAATCACTACTTAGCAGTCAGATGTCTAATTTTTAAGTAAATATAATGGGCGATATATTGCGTCACCAAAAATTATTGAGGTCATGTACATATATTGCGCGACAAGTCGATATATTGATTATTGCGACAGGCCTAGCCATATCCACATGCATATTTATTGGAGCGGTACCACTTTATGATATTCACTTGATAACATCTTGCTGCGACCTCTGGAACTAGGCTAACTTAATAATTAGAATTTCCTTTAGGTTTTCCAGTGTGATTGGATGCATTGATGACATGCATATTCCTATCATCACACCTTCCGAAAATGAAGCTGATTACTGTATGGAATGGAAGGATGCCAGATGGAAGGGTAGTGCAAGATATATGCCGTAACCACCACCACAGCTGTTAAATAAACACTAATTATTCACAATTAATTTGGTCAGCTTTATTTCCCACAAATAAAAAAGCAACTTATTATTTTCCCTGTTGGATTTTAATATAGGTATTGTGGCCATCTCTTCATCTGTCAGTGATGCTGGTGCAGGTTCTCCCCCCATATTATGAGTCTCTGCCTTCTTGCTGTTGGCTGAATAGAAGTCAAATGTTTATTTCATTACACTAATTAAGAAATGTATGTTGGATTAGAGAACATTTAATTATGTGAAAAGAGCATTAGACTATGTGGGAAAAGCCACTGCACATTGAAATAGACACTGAATGATATTTATTGAATATGTCAAATGTTTGTAAAGTCATGTAGCCTACACCCATAAACCTTAAAGCTTTACCTGACTGAATTATGTTTTTATGTTTAATTTTTTTTCTTTTTTGCCCGTGGGATACCATTAAAATGAAGATTAGTTCAATAACTTATAACAGCGATTAAGAATTAAAGTTACGTATTGCGTAGTCTTTTTGTCGGGTGCTGTTGCCATGGTGAATCGTAATTTCAGAGCTCCATTGATCATGGCTTTTCAAAGTCATGGTGCACGCGCTAAACTCAAGAGTTAACATACTCAGAATGGATTGAACTAACTCTGTTCAGCTGTTCAGAAACCGAAAACTCAAGAGTTTCCCATCTCAAGCCAACTTAAGAGTTCAAGTTTTAACTCAGAGTTTGTTGAACCTCCATTCTGGAATACACCCCTGAACTCTCAGTTGATTAACCCAAAACTTGCTTACTCAAGGTAAGCTGATTCCAAAACCATGGCTGCGAGTAGGTTCAGTCAATCCAGAATATGTTCACTGTGAACACACAACCTGGCCCAGAGCAGGTTATGTTGAGCACAAGTTGCTATGGCTGCTTACATACCCTGAAAGTTATTTCTCCTTTGGGACTGAATGGTTTTCCATAAACTTGCCCTGGTATGTCACAGAACCTGCTTTCTGGAATACCCCCATGGTCTCATATCATTTTGATGATTCTGACTTAAAATTTATCATGTATACTGCTATGGATGCAGTTGTATGACTGGAATCAGGCTCTTTTCAACTACCATTTTCCAACCCCGGCTCTGGAGTAGCCACAACATAAACATTTTGGGTGTTTCGGTATGACACCCATTTCAGGTTATGGACTTTGTGTAAAGCTTCCAAGTTGTATGCACTTCTCTCAGTAACTTCCTTGTGGATTTGGATGCATGTATTTGCCTACATTGAGTAAGTGCCCACAACTGGTGGAACCCAAGTAACTGGAATTCCCTTGATCATTTGGAATCTGCTATGGAGCTTAATAATTTACAGTCTATTGTATGCACCAACGTATTTGCCTATAACACATTTAACTATGGTTATGTAAAAAAACAAAAAACATCTTAAGGTTAACTTGAAGCATACATATTATTGGTATACCTGCTCCTTTAGACAAAATCAAGGAGTCAAGAGTGTCAACGGATACTTCCCTTGTCCCCTTGGAGTTTTAAAGTCTTAACTGAGAAGTTGAAATGGATATGTTTAATTAGGGAGATATATAAAAATGTGAGGTCATGTGGGTACTACAGGAACAAGGTTGGGAAACAGTTTTGAATCATCTTCACAAATAATACCTGGTCCAAATACTGTTGTACCACCACTGAATTTGACTGGAGGACTTAAAATTACATTATATACTGTATCATAAAATGAACCAAGCCTGTATCAACAAACAAGCAAGATATTTCTTTTCCCCTAGCTTTAATCATTAGCATCTGGTTAGTTGCACTTTTCACATTTGATCCATGACATGAAATTTGGAAGAAAAAATGTGTTCTGACACTTCCGGTTTCCTATTTTTTTCTCTCCATTCTTTAGCCATACTAGAATTACCAGTTTTGTGTCATACAGAAACCAATACTCTTGTTTGTGCATTCAGTAACAAACTACACAGTGTCAATTAACTTATTTCTGGAGTGAGGCTTATTTACTGAAAAGACTGCATCAAAATGTTGAGAGCACAATACGCAAAACTCAAACCAGATGGATCCAAGGTAGAAATTACACAAGATCAAACACCACACAGCCTACACTACAAAACTGTTACAAGAGATACAAAACCAGAGTCCACTGTTATTCAAGCTTCCAGCATTGTAAAGTTCTGCAGTACACATAAGGGTTAACATCCTATTCATTACACCAGCTCTGGTCTTGTTCTTAAGCCTTGCACACTTGTATTCCAGGTACGAAAACAATCATTCTCTTACACACTCAAACTATATTTACATATACAGGTTTCTCTCAGTCTATTCCACTTCCTTCACTCTCTCAAAAAAAAAAATGTAAAAGAAAAAAATATGCGTGCAAGGTGCACATGCCACAGGCTCCACTGTTTCTTTGTTATTCTTCTGTTGAGCTCCGTCTATTTCTCAGTCATCAGTTGTCTCCAGAACACTCTGACTCAGAGCCAAGTCCCAGTAGTGCTCAGTGCCATGCTTCTTAAAATGTTCCCTAGCCATACTTTCTGTTGGACACTGTTTAAACTTAACCTCCCCATAACTACGTTCCTTGGCTGTACCCTGAGAGAGAGGAAAAAGTATGTATTTAAGTACACAAAGCATACAATAAGAAATAAGAAACATAATAAGAAAAAGGAAGAAAACCTATCTCTCATATTACTTAGTGTGTTACTTGCATATCAGTAAAAACCATGCAAAGGTCAAGAAAATAAAATAGTTGTATCACAAATGGTGAGTCATGATGACAAACTACTAAATAATTTTTGGTAAATGTTTCATTGGTTTACATAAGCATATATCTGGTATGCAGTTACCTCCCAAACCAGTGTGCATTTATTATTCTTCCTGGAACCCTCATCATCTGAATCTTGAGGCTCTAAAAGAAACATGGAATGTCAAATGTCAGCTATAAATCACAGCTCAAAAAAGGCTGATCAATAAATGTCTGCATCTTCTATCACTCTTAAATTCCCTTACCATCTCTCTTGGAATTCGGCTCATCCCATTTGATTCTATTCAACATCAGTCGTTTAAATTTCTTCTGTGCTTTGGGGCCTTCAGGGAGTAAGGAGTCAATTAATAAATAAAAATCCTGAGAATAATAATAATAACCATATGTGAAGAGAATCATCTATAGAGATTCTCTAATCACTTTCACCCACCTCCCTCCACTACTACAATGTTGACATCTCTGTGAAGTACCACGGTGCCAGTGAGGTACAGTTGGTTTGCATTGGCCTCCACCTTAAACTTCTTGGCTGGATTATGCAGATTTCGGATTCTGAAGGCAAAGCAGATAAACTACTTGAGTAAACAAATTAGCGAAAAAGACATCACTGGCCACACTGTAGGTTGTTGTGTGCAAGCAGTGAGAACAATGCTATTAAAAGTTGACTGAAATCATATGAGAAAAAAAACTGAATTGAATGTGGAGAGACCCTAATCAAAACAAAAAAAACCTACGCCATAATTTATTTAACATATGTTTATTTCATACTAAGTATATTTAAAATCCATTAACATTTATTGAAATGTCACTTAAGGCTTACTGATGTAAAATTCTAATTAAACTTTATTTGCAGTACTTCTGTATTACACAATACACATTTCTTAATATTATGCCTAAAATGTGTTTTAATATCACTATTAATAAGGACTGTATGATCTCTGTATCAGTCTTTAAATGCAAGATATTTAAAGTGTCATGAAAGCCTGAAACACATTTTTTGAGATGTTAACATATGAACAGGTTGCACATTGGTGAAAACAACAATAGCACTCATTATGTTTATTATTAAGGGAAAAGAGTTGTATTTTTTTTCCCCCATTTTTTGGAGCAATTTCGTTCTTCCGGTTCAAAAAGCAAAGTTGAACCAGCTGAAAGGTGCGATGAGTTAAACAAAACTCGCTGCGAGGATCATAGTTCATATCCAGACCGGAGCAAACGTGTTTCAGGTTTTGTGAACATATTTCATATTTAATATTATATTATTATTGAATTATATATATATATATATATATATATAATTCAATAATAATATATTATAGAATATTTCATATTCTCTCGTGCTCCAAACATGAACCAGCACCATGTATGTGCACATATCACATCTTCTTAAAATGACATATGTGCGAATAAGGGCAACTGATACAGTGGTACGTCTGACACAACGGATTATTGTGATACACAGCAAACAATGATATAGAGCGAAAATTCAAAGAAGGGTAAACAAAAAGTAACTATGCCTTTATTCTTTCTGTTTTCAAGATATTTTAATATTCATTTGTCTGTATAATGAGTGCGTTTTTTTGGTTGTTTTC